ATTGATGAATTCGGCAGAACATCTCAAAAATGAGGAGTCGAGCGGATTCTCGAAAGTCTGACAGACATCCAGTAAGGAAGAAATCGTTTGAAAGTACCTGATAATCACAAAGTATCAACATCGTTGAGCATTTCGTGAAACGCTGCAAACCTCCTCGCACTGTCGAAGTTTTTCTTGCGCCTCATCAAAATCGTATTTGATATATAAGCAAGTAAGGAAGTCAGTAACAGGATCTTGATAATTGTGACGTTCCTAGATAAAAAATTCGTACAACGTCAGATGGAGACAGAATACAGAACTCACAATATCAATGACTTTAATAAGGTCCTTCAGACTATTCTTTTGCTTGTTTTTGCTGGTAACAACAGCAACAGCAAGGTAACGGAGGAGATGAGGACACATTACCTGAAGTATGTTACCATAAAACCATTAAATTTTAAGAACACAATCTCACCTGGATAGTATTCAAGTAAAGCTGTTGATTGAGGAACATCTCGATGATGTCATCACGACCTTTCGGGTAATTGAAATAAACGAATAAAGCCCAGTGCATTAGCCAGGCTCTCTGATGAATCAGTTCCCATTCCGTGTCGAAAGGATTGGAGTCAATATAAGCGCGAAGCTTTACTAAATCGTCACGAGCATGATCCCATTCCTGCAAAATAGTATGCTTGTGTGCAGCTTACAATTTCTTTGTATTCCTTCTAAATCATCCACATAAAGCATTCAATATTACGAGATTCAAACCTGCAGTAAGATTTCGCTAGCCAGCTTTCCATAAAGAGCATTTAGGTAGTTGGGATCAGCTTGTGGCACTAGATTGCGGTAATAGTAGAGGCAAACCTGCAGAAAACACTATAATGATTGAAAAGTTTGCAAATAATTGTCTGTTGCATATTGGATGCATTCTTTCTGTGAGGAAAGTAATTAATGCGCTGACCAATGATATGAAGGCCTGCGGCGTGCAATTACATAACTCATGCGAACGTGGATTGATTTCTTAAATATTCTTCAGGAAAATAAGTTATAAAAGAGACGAACCGATGCTGCAGTGTAGTTGCCGCATTCATACATAAATTTAGCGTATTTAAAGAGAGCGTCGACCATATCAAGTTGGAACTGGAAAATAAGAAAAGTTTAATAAAACAGCGAATCTTGAAAAACAGGAAATAAAGGCCTTCTGTTAGTGAAGAAAACTGTTATGCCAGTAGTAGTTTAGCCAATACTCACGTTGTGATTCTGTTGCAGAAAATCGAGTATTTTGTTGTTTCCATCTCTGTCGCGAGTGCTTTCCATCAGCTCCTTGACATCGTCAAGTTCAAGAATCTCTATTACAGGATCCACCTTCAAAAATAACATCAGTTTTTGA